CCATATAAGTATATGTGTGTGAATGTACTCTTGTAAACATTCGCTCTCTTACATTCAATTACATATATTTTGTGAAAGTATATATCCTCAAGTTACACAGCTATATGTTTAATATACATACATATCCAATTTTGGTAGTATTTTTATACATGTCTCTGAATTCTGTTAGTATTATCTCCTGCATGTATGGATGCATATTTGTGCAAATATACATCCTCATGCTTCATAAATTTATGAACATACACTACATACACGCCTACTGGGTCTCCTACTAGATTGAAGCGTGTGGGTATACACAGGTACATTTTTCTGACATGTTATCTGGTATTGTTTCTTTTCTGTCATTCCGTTCTGTTTACACTCGATTCGATACTCCTATCATCCTAGACAGCAGTCAAGCCTGGCTTCCGATCGATGATGAAGGAGTATGGTAAACCATTTTTGGTGTACTGGACTGGGGTGTGGGCTTGCACAGGTGAGATTTTCTATCCATATTGTTAACTATGTTCCCAAGTCGATTTCTTCAAGACTTTGCATATTTGAGCCAATAGAAACTGTGTCGTTGAATGATACTCCTTTGAGTCTTATCTGAGGTATAAGTCTGGGAATGAACTGCAGTTCAAGTTCAGACTTGTACGATTCTCGGTGTCTGTTACAGGCATTTCTTAACTGTATTACCCCAGTTGGACCGAGAAAGCACGCATTGCTTCAGGAATACTCGTTGGAATTGTAAGCAGTGGCATATTGGAAATGAGCCTACGTACGGGATCAATGGGAGTGTGTTAGTACATGCGTTACCCACCTTTGGTACCTTTGGTGTTTATGAACCGTTTTTCAAAATGCAATGCCTTGCGCCCACGAGTTGCTTATACGATAAGCACGTAGCATCTTCGATTGCATTAGTTTCTAAAGTATTCCTGCAGGGGCCTATGTCCAGAACAATGTAAGCGTGCTCGAACAATGTAAGTGCTCATGTAAGCGTGCTCGACATAAAGGTATACCCAGATCACGATACCAAACGCGGGATGCAGACCCACTTGTCACCAGATGCGATTGTGTAGAAAAATTGTGATATAGTTGAGCCCACGATTACGTCAGCTGTATATAGGTTTAGACTACGATTCTGTATACATTCCTGTCGTGTTCAGTATCCAATCAACATACCACCATATCAGCCGTACCCCTCGAATGTTCAATACTCTGCACCCCCACTTTTCTCTTAGGGGTTCTCACATACGGGGCTGTATCGTATGCTGGGCCAGACGTTGCGCTCAGGGGAGTACAGCAGTTGGGTGTGAACACGGAGGAGTGGGACCTGACACCGGCCAAGATTAACACTGCAGTTGCTGTGGCTATCAATGAAATGCTGGAGCCAATTAGGTTTCCGATATGCGTCGCCACAACACCGATGGTGGTTAGGTTTTTTAGAGGGTTGATGAGGAGGTGACCGACTGACCGGTCCTTGTAGAATAATTGGGACATGTAACAGGTAAATAAAAGTAGATGTAGAAGAAACTAGACGGCACAGTGGGTATGCACGTGAATATTGTATACAATGCTATGTAGTCACGTACTTAAGTGTTTGAGTATATTCAACTGCAGGGTAGGTATGCTTCCGTATCAGGTGTGAACTATATACAACGTACAGGGCGGGTTGTGCTAATACCTACAGCTAAGCATTTTTTACTAAAATTTTGCATCACTAGATATATACGGCCATACATCACCGCCCCTTTGGATAGTTGTAGGTGTACAGCCATCAATGAGAGCCAATGGTGATGAACTATACCAACGTAAAAAACGCGTGGCGTTTGTTCGGTTGAAACCTCAGGAATAAGCATATTGCACCTAGCCCGCAGATGCCCTTATGAATGACAATCATATATGAAGGCCAACGCAGCAGCATTAGAAGTATACACTGTACAGCTTTACAATAGAGCTCACTTGCGTATAATATACCTGTGTGTGAACAAAATGTATCGCATAGTGCTTTTTTGGCCGACACCTCGTGTCATAGCATTTGGTCTCGATTTGGCATCAACACGTAGTGAAATACAATCACCATTCATATCAAAACACACCCATACATCACCGACGATATCCGCTAAATACGCCAACGTAAGAAGATCATTTATGGCTCAGAACATGTCTTGGCAACTCAGGTCACAGCACTTTTAGCCGAGTTTATATTGCCACTAGTTAATACTGCCATTCATTTGATGCAACACAACACTAGCATTGCAGAGCCATACAATCCAACAATCCAACTCGCGAGAATACAACCAGCATTGCATTGAACTTTAGTCAGCACTGACGTATAGTCAAACTCTACAGCCAATACAACAGGGTCAACTTTGACTTCGGCTAAAACTAATGGCACAATCATAACATGGTGCTGTGGTACTAAATCCTACATGTTTCCTGATTGTGGACAGTTTTCGCTCCCGACTGTACTACTTACTGGGATGAGGTTTATATTTTTACTTTGTTTAATGATTTAATGTAACTCAACGTACTAAATTATGTGAGTGCATGTACACGCATGTTGTTCATCAGTTCCGTTTGCGTCTTGACCAGGTTACTGACCCGTTCATCTTGCACCGCACTCAACGCTACTCTCCTCCTCTCGATTGCATTGCGTAACTCTACACCCCGTGCTTCTTGTTGCACATTCGCGAGTTTCTTCTTCTCCTCAGATACCTCCTTCAGCTCATCTTTTTCGAGCTTCACGCCATCAACCTGGTGGGATTAAGGGAGCGGGTACAAAGAGTGTGTCAGTGCCGAGCATACAGTGAAGGATATGTAGGTACCAAGGGGTCTTGCTTGAAGCTTCAAAAAAACTATGTGGTCGTGCCTCTACTAGTCATATATCCGAGCGTATAGAAACGCGCGAATTTGTCGCGGTGAGTGTATTACACACTCACCTTCTTAGTGCCTGTAAGTTTAGCCCCCACATTCCAGTTCAAGTCCTTGTCTATGCCTTTGACGGTGGAGTGGTAATCCTTTTCTATGTTGTGCCACTCATCGTCCTCAATAACACTCAGCTCAGCCCACTCTGCCGCGTGCATCTTCTCGTACGCCGACATACAGTCTAGTAGACGACACCTGTAGATGAGCTGCAAGGGTATGTAATAAAGTCAGTCGCATGTCTACGATATATAACGCATGTTACAGTAATCAATCATTTTCATAAACTACCAATCATTTAAATACGAATACAAAACTATTCATGGGTCAATGCCCAATAAATCCCTCACATACGCTCTACACTCACTTTCATGGCATCCAGATGGCTCTGGCTGATCGCGCGATCGTACTCACTGATCAACGGCCACTTGACTCTCTTAGCCTCCAATTCAAACTCTTCCAATGGTCGTTTGCTACCCGCACCATTGGCAGTCTCTTCATCTGTGTACATCTGCTTGCCAAAGTAGGCAATATCCTTGTTCAGACGTTTCTCAAAGGTCTCGATATCGTCGTTGCGACGTTTCTCCTCCTTCTTCGCCTGCTTGGTAGCCCTACACTCGGCTTTGGCTATGTCCTTGTTGGCTCTAGCAAGGACCTTAGTCAGCCCCTGATGCAGTAAGAGCCAAGTAGAAGAAGTCAGAGACTAGTAGCACTGAAGTTGCATGTCAGAATAACCGGACAATTCAGCTGCAATGTAAAAAAAATCATTCACACAAATTCCGCGGCACTTGATTCTCATGTATACGCACGCCCTACGCCCTCTATACACACGCTCATCAGTACACAACAAAACAAGCACTCAACACGAACATTGATACTCCTTTTCAAAGTGTGCTCCATCTATTTCAACTATATTGTACAGCGGGTATAGACACGTACCTTTGTCACTGGTAACAAATCGCTCGGTTGGATTGGCAGCAATGGGTTGAGCGTCTGCGTCTTGCGTGCCTGTGTCAGCAACTCACTGTTTTTCAAGTACGCAGTAGAGTCGCTATCTCCGTGCACAGCAATAGGTATGACGTCCTTGAACGACAGCTTAGTAGATGTGAGTGCAGAGGGATTCTGCACGCCCGCTGCAGCTCTACCGCCAGCCAGTGCCATCGCACGCTGGGCTACGGCCGAGGGACGGCGCATCTTTGGCGCCTGGAAGGAAGTAAGTAGTCAGAGTTAAGTTTTGTGGTTCGTAAGCATTCAGCAATATGCTGACCACCGCAACATTTATGTAGACGCGTATGCAGAGAACATGCACAGAAGATAGTAAATAAACATACACGACCATGGAGACATGCGTACAACAATTTAAACTTACCAACCCGGCGGAAAGTGCTGCGCTGTCATCCACCTTCTTGTCCGTTGCCTGGGCCAGTGGTGTAATCTTCTTTGGCGCAGAGACCGAGTCCGAGGACGAAACAGACGATACGGATGATACGGATGATACGGATGACACCGACGACACTGACGCCTTCCTGCTGTTACCCACATTCCTGCTAGACGACTTGCTTTTAGGTTTATCACCAGCCATAGTATCTACAGCCTTTCGAATATCCGACGGCGGATGGCGCTGGTGGTCCATCTTACCCAAATTCTCCGCTCCGAAATTATCTGCCTTGATTCCATCGGCTTTCTTCGAGGGCAACTCGCTACTAACATCTTTAGTATGGTTTTTACTCGCCGTGACCGGGGCTACTACAGTAACCCCCTTCGGGGTGTGGAGCCCATCATCACTCAAAGATGAGGATGAGTGTCCATGGCCCAGCACCGTATCCTTGACCTTCTGCATAGTTGATGATTCTTTCCGAGTGTCCGTCACGGGCACATTTACAACCTCACTGTTCAGATTACCGTCACCACAAACAGCATCTCTTCCGATATCTCTGGCTACCGCGGGACGGTCTTCTCTAGCTACCGCGGTATGGTCTTCTCTGACAATATCATCTGTGCTCATACCTGTCACACCGTCTACAACCAAAGCACTCACAAGTGCCCTTTGAGCCTTCTCCAACATAGTTGGTTCCGACTTGCGCACCGCTGCGTCTACATCGTCATCGCCTCGTGCAGCATCTTTGGCAATACGCTCAGCTGGAGTGTTCTTCTTCATCTCCTTATTGATATCATCGGTAGTAGCGTTGGCTGTGTCATTCCCCCCGGTAACCATGTCAATTGCCGTTTGTACCAAAGAAGGTTGTTCCGTGTCTGCTAATGGCCCAAAGCCTAGACTCGCCTGTACTTTCTGTACTATCGATGGATCGGTCAGATGCTGGGTGGCCGCG